ATTAAAGGGATAAATTTATAATACTTACTTTTATACATCTTAAATACGTACTCGTTCAATGCACAATAATATTTATATTATTTATTGATAACAATTTAATAAACATATTATGATATTTTTTAATTAAATAATAAATTTTTGGAACATAAAAAATAGGCTGTTTAAAGATAAAAAAAAAATATACATATATAAACTAAGAAAGAAAAGGTTGAAATAAATAAAAATAGACTGGAGTAGAAACCATAGAATTAAAAATTATGTAATGAGTATATATATATATATATATATATATATATATATATATATATATATATATATTAACTGGTAAAAAATTAGAGTGTATATATTAAATCTGTTCCTTTATAATATATTTTAAATATCTATCTAAATAATGTCTTGAGAAATTAAAATGACAGATAGTCACACTGAAGTCCAGAAAAATATTAAAAACAATAAAGATTAAGTCATCAAACGTATGAACATATATACAAAATTCAATGTATACAACCTAATGCAAAATTGTATTATTTCCGTTAGCTTTTCATGATTTATTTTATTTACATGTCATTTTTTAAATTTTTTTCAAAAAATGCAAAAAGAAACATGATTTTAAAAAAAAAACATACTTATTTTATTTAACATAAATATGTATATATATAATTGAGAAAAAATAAAAATTAATCCATTTATTATTTTTTAAATATAAATTTATCTTTACAAATTTGATAAAATAATATTTTAATAAAAATAATTTAATTTAATTTTTTATATTCATTAAAAATATTTAAATTTTATTGATATGAATAATATTAATAAAAGAAAATTCTCGGAAAGTTAAATAAATATATGTAATTTATTTTAATTTAATTTAGCTTTTGTATCTTTCATGAATAATACATGTAAATTTATTTATGGTAATCATATTAACAAAAGGTGTATAATAAGTTTTATGAAGTCTATTTGGTGAAGAACACATGATAACATTTTCTTATTTGATCTTTTGTTTGACATTTGTTTAATCAAAATGATATGATCATTTACTTTATAAACTTTTGACAACCTAAATTGAATGCTTCATTTAAAATTATTCAACATCATTAAGTCATCTTTTTCATATTGCAGTGTGATTTCTGTGTTTTATAAATTTTATCTTGATATAAATTTTTAGTAACTGTACTTGTGCGATAATATTATAAAATTATTTATTGCATTCAATAATTACATTAAAATTTTAAAAATTTAATTTTAAATTATAATATTTTTATATTTTTTCAGTATATTTAGTGTCCAAGTTAATGTTCAATAAACTTTTCAAAGCTCTAATGATTTCGTGATTGGGTAATGGTAATCTCCTATTTCCTTATCTTTTTATGTCATCATTTAAAAAAAAAAGTTGTTAGAAGTTCAAAAAATTATTTATTACTTGTTTTTCTTATTATATCCGTAACATTTACAATTTATTAAAGAGAAAAATTAATTAACTAAAAAAATTTTGAAAATTAAGCAATAAAATTTATATAAACTATAATATTAATTAGTTTTCTTAAATTATGTGAAACAAAAAGAGTATATTTTAATTTTTTATTAAATTTTTATCATCAATTATATTACTAATATTTAATAAAGAAATTATTAAATCAATAATAGAGTAAAATGAGACATGACAAATTAAAATAATTACTTCATTGCAAGTAGCGGTTTAGAGCAATGTCTAGTGCAAGTATTATGCAAATTTTGAAAGATTACTGCACCGAAAAAAGTAGTGGTATTTATGTGACGTCTATTGCTTAATGCAATTCTAGTGTGAAAAAATTTAACCAAATGGTGAAATGACGATTTCTTCATAAGCTTGTAGGTTTTTTGATACTAAAGATGAGAATGTATTGCAATTTTTTTTATAGCACTGTGGTACTTCTATGAGATTATGGTACATGATGTTTGAAAGTTTTGCTGTCAGTGTATGCTTACCTAAAAATTTGCATTAAACATTATTTAGTATGTGTGGAATTCGATGTGGAAAAAAGGAATAGAAGGGAGCTGATTTGCAGTAATATGAACAATTTGGCTTCAAATGAATAATATTCTCTTTAATAACAATATATTAAATGTAACTAAAATTATTGATTCTATTAAGTATCATTTTTGAAAGTGACTCATCGTAAAACATTTAAAAAGCTCAATTATGTATGTAAATTGGATAATAATCTCTTAACATGTATATTTAATTCTCGTTAGAGATGTAATGGATTAGAGTATCTGTATGTTTTTTTTATCTTTAATAAAACGTTGGTATTTAACAAAAAAAATTAAAATATTTATTAGTTAACAAAGAATAAGAAAAAAAAAATACCATACTAATAAAATGATATAACTTTTAAAACGGTTGTTAAAAGAGTCACCAACTCTCAATAACTAACCAATTTATCATTAGTAACATTATAATAGTAACATTATTTTAAAATAATTGATTTTTAAAAAAGATATTTTTAGAGATTATTTTGTTTTTCTAACATATACGGAAAATAATACAATAAAATTTTATAAACAATAACTTTTATTAAAAATCACAACCTGCTATAAAATTTATTGCATTATATTATTAAATGCTATAATTTTTAATAAAATATTAGTATTATTAATTTGTTTATTTTGAAGACCCATTAGAAAAATTGTAGTTTTCGTTCATTTAGATGTTTTGTTTTAGCATCACTTTCTTAAAATACTCTTTTTTCTTATAAAGGATTAACTCTTATAATATTTTTACCAATGATATAGTGATTAAAATTTTCATTTAAACGCGTATTTTTTAAAAATGAGGTGCGCGCGAATACAAATTGATAGACAATCAAATAGTAAAAGATTAAACTAATGCAGTTGGTATATATGCTGCAGGGGCTTATCCAGTTTTCTAACTAACATTTTAATTTTTTATATTAGTCATTATTATGTAAAACATAAGAGTAAATTTATTAGACCATACATAAATAATAGGTATTCTTATTATAATAGTTTTTTTTATATATATTAAATAGGATTAATAAGCTCTACAACAACAAGCAAAACTACAAAATAAGAAATTTATTAAAAGTTCAGGGGAAAAAATGGAGTTTGATATAAAACAGAAAAGTCATCTTATAAATTATGTGCCATCTGAACTAAATAATCAATACACTAACTGGATTCTCTAAAAACACAAAATAAACTAATAAACTAATAGACCTACACTCATTTAAAAAACGTAGAATTGACTGAATTAAAGAAAAATATTGTTCATTAGAGAAAATAAAATAAAATGAATAGCCTCTTTAAAGTGAATTTCAATACTAACATTCTTGAGGCTTTAATCCATTGATTATTATAACATTTTTTTTCTATTTATTATAACAGTATATTATCATAAAGGTAATTTTATTTTTTGTTTGACCTAACTAATTCAAGTACAAGTTAAGAAAGATTAATATTAAGAGTGAATTATGTTTTATTTTTAAAGGATACCTAAATGTTTTATACTTTTTTTTTTATAAAGCTCTCTCTTCATGTTTTAATTTAATTTGAATATGATTGAGCATTATAAGACTAAGTCATCGATATCTAGTTTTAATTTCTTTTTTCTATTGTCTTTGCAAGCTTAATATTATAGATTTTTATTACATCATCCTTAAGGATTAAGTTTAATCATCATAAATAGAATTATATATATATATATATATATATATATATTAAATTTATAAAAGTATAATAAATATTATTTTACTAAAATTTTCCTGTTATTAATTGTTTATATAATACGGGTTGGGCTTAATGTTTTTTAAAAATATATTTTTAAATTTTAAAAATAAGCAATAAAATGTTTAAACATAGTTACATGTCAGTGAAAATTACAAAGGGAGGAAAAACATTGAGTCGTTAATTATTAATTAATTATTTCTGTTAAAAAATTAAATTAAAATAAACTGAATTATATTTTAAAATTTGAAAAAGTATAATTTATTTGAAAATTTCTCATTTTTATACAGTAATTTAGTTTCACACATTAATTCACTTTAAACTATTTATACATGTTGTCAATGATCTGAATAAAATATATCCTGATCGTTAACTAGGAAGCAATTAATATATTTATTTAGTCTTTTGATTTTGTAGTTATGATTTGTGATATTCTTGCTTTTAATAATTTTTCGGTGACTCTGCTCTTCCGAGGTGCCCATGTTAACCTTAATGTTATGGACGATTTATTGTTAACTTTTTATTAGGTATTTATTCACTTTCTTGACTATAATTAATAAAAAAAAAATTCTTAATTAATATGCCAGCTCATGCCGTTTTAACTTATTGACAAGACTAGTGATCTATTATTAAAGTTTTGAAAATTTTGTAATAAATTAAAATGCCATTCGTGGTGGTTTTTTCCTAATTATAAATTTGATAATTAATATTTTGCGTCATGTATGTTTTAATTAAAATAGATTAATATTTAATATTTTACTCAATATCAAGCATAATAAAATATTTACAAGTTATTATTAAATTCATATTTTATTTCTTAAATTAATTAAATTTTGATTAATTATCAATTATGCATATTTATACATTTCTAATTTAATTTATATAATTTTTATTTAAATTATAATAAGCGATGAACCCCTCTCTTTAAATAATATTCAAATTTATATTTTATACTTGTATGTATTTATGAATATTTTTATTGTAAAGAAAATATTTATTGTTTCAATTATATATTTTGCATATATCTCAATTAAACTATGGATGAATGAAACAAAGACTATTGGAACCCAAAATGCAGAAGTATCCAGAAAACAGAAAACGATACAAATTCAATGTATTGTACCCCACATCTCTTTCTGCGCTCAAAATAAGTAATAAGTAAAATATATATATACAATACAATCGTAATGAGGTAGAATACCAAGAAAGCCACTGGCAGCACATAGCCACATGTTAAACCTACATATGCCAAACCTACTTTTGTTTTCCTAACTGGGTTGCACCTACTAAAATATGCTATATCCTTTCTGCCCAAATATAGGATTAACATTAATAATTCATTTATTTTCATATTTTTTGGCACCCCAAAAATCTCCAAGGGACAAACATGACTTTAGCACATAGTAATGGGAAACCCTACAAGCAAGCCCATGTTATCTTGTTCTTTTCTTTCATTATGCTTTTTTTTTTTTTTTTTGGTACTCACTTTCTTATTTAAAAGATGAAGCAAGCAAACAGAATCCCCTCTTTTGATCTTGGATTCATTCTTCATCAAACCACTGATCTTCTTGTCTTGGAAATCTTAGATCTGCTTTTATATATCAAGGTGTTGGTGGAAACTCATCACCTATCTTAAGCAGGGCCACAAAGAAGGTGTATAAATTCAAGAACAGAAGAGCCAATTAGAGAGAGTTGAACAAGGTGGATCGAAGGCAAGGGAAGAGGTCTCTTCCTTCTGATCATGCATCAGAAGAGAAAAAAGAAATTTTCAACTTTACTATTCATCCAACACCATCTCAAAATGCACAATCTTGTGCATCACCCTTTTCACATCTTATGAGCACCAACAATAGCTCTCTCTTCCCAGTCTCACCTGGGCAAATAAACACTTCCCAATTTATTAATAGCCAAGATCCACCTCAGCCTATACATCAAGGTAAACTATTATTACCAGGTTGATTCTCATCCCCTTCCTATTATTCTTAATTTTTATTATCACCAACTATGCTACTCTATATTCCTCTCAATTATATATCTTGAATTAGGATCTCAGAAATTTAATTTTATTCATTTTTTTAAATTCAAATATAAGGTGTCTGAATAAAGGTTCACCACTGTGTTTCTATTCGAACATAGTCATAAAGATATTTTCACCAATAACCTGAGTGCAACTAGCGTGATACATCTTCTTTCTTAATGGGAAAGTAAAGAAAAGCAGCAAAAAGTTAGTTTCTATCATATTTGTTTTTTTCCTCACAAAAATCTGCACTTGTTGGTGCATATGCACAATTATCTCGAATTCTCGATCTGCCAATCCGATTTGAAATGACACATTTCCATTGTCTGCCCTCAATATTATCGTTATTTGTTGTCAGGTACCGTCTCAATTTTGTATTGTTAATATTTTTGTCTATCTTGTTGACGATGTTGACTATACATCAATTTACCACATTCAGTGTGCAATTGAAACAATTGGCCTTATCTCTACACACTAGTTTTGCAAATGTGTTTATTTACAACTTAGACAAATTTCATGTTTCAAATTTTTTTTAAAAATTCTTTTAAAAAACTACTAAAAATATAAATTATTATTTCTTTAAAATAAGCTCAACCAAAATAAAATAGTTTATACTGTATATGTAGTCTATATATGCTAACCTGAAGCATTAATATTTCAAATTTGAAGGTAACAATGAAAGGAAAAAACACTATAGAGGAGTTAGACAAAGACCATGGGGCAAATGGGCAGCAGAAATAAGAGACCCTAAAAAAGCGGCAAGAGTGTGGCTTGGCACGTTTGACACGGCAGAAGCTGCAGCTGCTGCTTATGATGCGGCTGCATTGAAGTTCAAAGGAAACAAAGCCAAGCTCAATTTTCCTGAACTCGCAGCTTTACCAACGGATTCATCAACCGCTATTAATGCTTCTGTTTCTTCACAATCTGCTTCTCTTCCACCGCATGTTGGTGATCAAAGTCAACAACCTGCTACTCTTCCAATGCCATTGTCAGAAGAAGGGTTCCCAAACCTGATGCAGTATGCACAAGTGCTGTGTAGTAGGGATGATGATGATCTTCAACGTGCTGCTTCGGGTCTTTACTATCATCATCATCATCACAATGAGCCCTTTCTTTATGGGTCCTCACAACCACCTTTTTTCTTGTCTTCATCGTCATCAGCGATGCCAATGTCAACCTCTAAGACTGTTGTGCCTGATGATCAATGGGTTGATGGAGGTCATGATTCTTCTTGGGTTTTTGATCAAGGGGGCAGTGGTTTTGATGAGAGTAATAGGAGGGGATCATAGTTTTCATCTCTGAATTCTGAGCACTTGCATGCAGTTGAGAAGCAGGCTAGTATTTTGCCATTCTTGGATGTTCAAATCACCCGTCTTTTTTTTTTAAAATTATATTTATCCAATTAAAGAGTAATACCTCAGCTAAAAATTAATAATACTGCTTTTATTTCTTTTTATTTTTGTAGGGTATTACTCTTTCTAAGTTATTTTAAATGGTAGTCAATATTAACACATGCATCTCAAGATAATTTATTTTTTTTAATTATTATAATAAAAGCACTGGAGTGATTATAATAGTTAATCCCTCTACCAAAAAAAAATTATAACAGTTAATCGGTAAAAATTATTTATAAAGTAATATTATTGAAGTTATAATTTTATTAGCTTTAGTTCCTACGGCTAATTTTTAGTATTTAAAGAAAAAACATTTTATTAAAAAACATATTTATTATGGTTTTATATTCTCAATGTAGAAAATATATTTATTTAACTTTTACTAAAAAAATTTTAGTTGCTCAACCTTAATATTAAAATTTAGGACTAATAAAAATTTAAAATTATTATATTAGTTAATTGATAAGAACTACTCTTTAATTTATAAGGGTATTAGTAAAAATAAATAAATTAGTGCTTTCTTGATATTCTACAATAAATATATAATTTGAGAGAAACAAAACTATTCAAATAAAATATAAAATAAGAAAGAAACAATATAAATAAAATTTAGAACATTACAATTATTTTTATTTATTTATTGACCTATAAGTCTAAAGAAATAATAATTATGTGTTTCTTTGTTATACCCTTATGTTAATTCTCATGCGTTAATAAGTGTTCTACTGTTAAGAAAAATGATGTAATATACCTGAAATGTATAATAGGAAAAGGTTAAGAATAATTTTCACAAAAATAAAAATATTAGCTATATTTCTTAATTTGTATGTATTTTGCCTTCTTGGACAAATAATAAATACTCCCTATATTTATTTTTATCTGTCACTTTAAAATTTTGACACAAATAAAAAAATAAATTTAATTTTCTCATTTTTATTAAAGTTATCATCTCAATTCTTATTATACCCTTTAATTATCTCTATTGTTAAATATTTACCTTTTTTATTTTTATTTTAAGGATATAAATAATAAAATAAATAATATTATTTTAAAATTTTAAAAGTTTGACAGATAAATAAAATAAAATTTGTTCAAAAATGATAGATAAAGAAACAAAAGGGTAATAACATTCTTATTTTCTGTAAAATTATTTATAAATTTTCTTTTGTCCTCTTTATATATTTTACTCTTATTTCTCGTTCTAGTGTGATAGTAAATTATTACTGTTTAAGAGTTACTAGGTGATTAAGAATATAATTGAGAAAGTTATACTTAACGTGATTTCAATTTTGTAAATCAATAAATAAACTGGAAAAAATTGATAAAGTAAACAGATAAAATAGAACAAAAATAGTACATCAAAGTGATAATTTAATTTTTGATAACATGTCATTCTTTTACAAGAGAAATATAAAATTAAAGGTAAAAAAATGAAGACAAGTGATTTTATTCTGTAACCTTGGCAACCTGATTCTGTTTTTAATAAAAAATAAATTTCTTACGAATCATTATTACTCGTAATGTGACAATTATATATGTGTGATATTGTCTATTTTGGTGGATTCTTTTATTGAAATAATATTATTCATATCGGCATGATTCCTCGCAAGAGTATGAATGAAATGATCTTTGAAAGCTTGCTCAGCTCACCCTATAATTCCTTGTTATAGTTTAAGGCCATCAATACGCGCGACAACACCACACTGCATGCGTGCTAACTATGCAACCTCATATTCCCAATATATCATATCATATGTTATACATCCAAAATGTCATCGTTTTTCTTATGAGAAAGAAAATCAATATTTGTCTCCGCTTATAAAGTAAAAACAACGATAGTGCATGCATAAGATTTAAAGTAAATGTAGTTTACACTTATTGAAGAGTGTATTGAGTGATTTAGTGTTCTTTCAAAATAGATACTAAACTCTGAACAAAAACTAAGAAGAAAAGGGAAAAAAACTGATAAAAAATACCATGAAAAAAGAAAATCAAAGTCTTACCACGTAAAAGAAACAAGATACAAGAACTTGTTTAGCCTAGTTATTATGAGCTTTCTTTCCTTTTTTTAATATGTAAATTTTAAAATAAAATATGGTTGATTAAAATAGAAATGAAATTATTTGCAACTCCATTTTAAAATAATTTTATCTCAATTTCTATCATAAGAAAAAGTAATGTTTAAAACTAATTAAAATTGAAATTAAAATCAATTGAAATTTTAAAAATTTGATAACTGGCTGATTGTAGTGTAATAAAGGAAAAATTTAAAACAAAAATTATAAAACAAAAGCTCCAGGAAAGGAAAGAAAAGGGAGGGGTGCCACTTTCGGTAACCCCTAGTATTGTAGTCTAATAAAGAAAAATGTGTCATCGGGAAAAAGTAAACCAAAATATATTAATACACAACTACTCTTATAGCCTCCTTTTAAGGCCTTAAACTTGATTTCATCCTGAAATTAGGGTTTGATTTTCTCAATATGTATGTAGTATACCAAACAATTTATCATAGCCCAAGAATCGAGTGGACATGACCTCCTAACAAATCATTTTTTGGCATGGTTTAAGAGCATCTTCAACCAGGATCTTCAACAAAGACCATACTTTTCACTTAAACTTTTTGTAGAGTCAAATACACTGGTAAAATTCTGAGACCTGTAAGTAAAGTGTTTATATTTATATCTCTTTATTATTGTTATTATTATTTCCTTCTCCTCCTTCTTTCAAAATTCATTTTAACCCTTTAAAGAATTATTAAATTTTATTACTTTGACTTGTACGTACTTCCATGTTATTTCAAATAATAGCTTGTGTATAGAGTCATATAACAGCGGTATCAATAAAATTATTTTTTGGATAATCAATTTGTAAACCATAAGTCCATAACCAAATATGAAGTTATTTTGATCCTAATATAAAGGCCTTACTTTTTACTAAAATTAAAAAGTTAATTGAAATTATCACTTGCTAAAAGTTACCTTTTGGCTTAAAAATCAATAATTAATAATATTATTATTATTGTTGTTGTTGTTAGCGTGTGGTTAATTATAATAACAGTTTTGTAGTCAGTTATATTGACGTCAATCCAGATTACCATTCTTTGGTCATATGAAGAGTGTGCATTCTTCACGTTGACACGAGACATTTTTCAAAAGATTGGTGATGATCCAAAAATTGAATTTGAGAAGTCAAGGCGTACTGACCTCATTCTTCTATATTAAATTTGAAAAAATATTAGCCATATTATTTATGAATAGTTTATTTTTAAAGATTTAAAATGTTTATTTTATAAATTGATTATTTTTTTTAAAAATTGCTTTAAATACTTTTTAAAATTTAACTAATTAAAAAAGCATGTGCAAAAATACATTAGAAAACGTATAGTATTAACATTCGTCATTGAATAATCCTCAGTTGAAAATACCAGTATAATATATGGGTTGATATATGAAGCCGGAAGAATATGTTATATGAAAATATCTAGAGCTCATAATCTCTTTTTTAGTTAAACTAGTTTGGTAGTTGTGAAATATAAAGATATTTTATTGTAAAATAAATATATATAATTTAATAATTAAAAATATATCTTTTTAAAAGTAATTATATATATATAGTAAAATTATTTTAAACAATAATTCAATAATATTTTTAAATTATTTTAAAAATATTATTGTAACTTAATTCTATAGCTACAAATATTATGTATTTAAATAATATAATTTTAATAAAATTAAATAATTTTTAAATATAATTTATTTTAAAATAATACTTTTATCGTTTAATTTTACAAAATTTATAAATTAAATATTAATAATTAAAATATTTTAATAATCATACATTTAAGAGAAAAGACTCTTAAGAATAAATTTTAAATTAAAAATAAAAATATTAATATGATTTTATAAACATAAAACAGAGATTTACAAAAAAAACATAAAAATTTATACAAAGTATAAAAAAATTAAATGACAATTTTAATTTCTAAAATTTAAAACGAAATAAAAAAATATGAATAAAAAGTAAAATCATTATAGCAAAAAAATGTAATTCACATATTATTTTTAAAAAAAATTAATTTAAAAATATATGTGTAGCTAGATGTGAAATAAAATTAACTCTAAGAATAATTTATTTCTTAAATAATAGATTTTTATTTCTAATAAAAATAAAGAATGGTTTTTTTCTACTTCAAATTTTTAAAGTCGCGTGTGATCGCTTACATTACTAAATATCAAATAAGTTACTTTAGTATTAATTTAAAAGTCTTGGTATTTTATGGATATATGTCAATGTTTCATTTTAAAAATATAAACATAAAAATTTATTTAATGATATTTTTATGATCATTTGATTTTTAAATATTTAACATAAATAATAAGTAATTATAATTCAACAGTTGAAAAAAAAAATATTTATATACAGTTATGAATCATACAAAAGTGTCAAGTCTTACACGACTCTTTCTTCTTCTGAAAGGTATTTGCTATATATTGTAAGTAAGACTATTTTAAGATTGGCGGCTCTAGGTTATTGTGGAGAAACTCAAATAGTCAAATCTATTAAAAGCCAAGATTGACTATAATCCTTTTTTATATATATTTCTTCTCGCTTAGCTTAAAACAACCTTTCTGAAAATTATATTTTGCTGTTAACTACAAAAATGAAACTATACTTTATTTTTGGATAATTAAAAAGAAAAGAATACAAATTTACAATTTTAAGGATGGTCGAGTATGTTTATTTCTAATTTTAAAAAGGGTTTTTTTTAAAAATTATTTTTTATTTTAAAAAAAAACTATTTTTGAAAATGAATTATATACGACTTGTATGTATACGATCAATCAATTACATATATATGTGACTTCAAAAGTTTTTAATACCAGACTTCCTCCCACGCGGATTCGAAAGATATTACAAGATTTTTATCAAAATGTGCTGGACTGAGCACTTTGAAAATCTAGATGTGCGTGAGTATAATTTTAATATTAAATTTGAGATATTTAATTTTAAAATAAAAAAAATACTTA